GACACTTCCAGTTGTCTCCTGTCTTTTTGTCCATGTCTCTGTCTCAAGACCATACAACATAGCTGGTCTCACCACTGTCTTGTAAACGTTTCCTTTGACCTTTGCTGACATTCTTTTGTTACAAATCACTCCTTAAACTTTTCTCCATCCACTCCATCCTGCCTGGACTCTCTTCTTCACCTTTTTACCACACTCCCCATTTTCCTGGACAGTGGACCCCAAATACTTGAAGTCCTGCCCCTTTGTGACCTTTGCTCCTTGTAGCCTCACTGTTCCAGCAGCCTCCCTCTCATTCACACACATGTACTCTGTCTTACTATGGCTGACTTTCATTCCTCTTCTTTTGTCCTGAGCCTGGTTCTGCTTGAGGTTTCTTCCTGTTAAAAAGGAGTTTTTCCTTCCCACTGTCTCCTTTGTGCTTGCTCAGGATGGGAGACCATGATGAAGTGAAGACTCGACACAATCTGCTGGCTTACTAGAAAACTTTTACTAATTGGCTTTTATATATATATGGATGTTTCTGTTCAGTGTCCTGAGATGACTTCTGCTGTGACTTGGTGCTACAGTATATCTGTAAATACATTGAACTGAATTGAAGTGCACACCTCTATCTCTCTAAATTCTCTTCCACCTGTTCCCTGTTCTCCCCACAGATCACAATGCCATCTGCAAACATCATAGTCCATGGGGATTCCTGCCTGACCTCATCTGTTAATGTTCGTGTGAGATTGCATCTCATACAAGCTCATGCAATAAGCAAAATATGTGTTGGGAATGAACCTGAGCTACTAATACATGGAGTCTTAGGTCAATATTTGTAATAACCGAGTTATGGCCATACAAAACAGACTTTAAATACAATAATAAATCTAATTTAATAAAGTTGCTGATACAAATGAAGCTATAGAAAACAACTAAGGAGCAAGATGAGTCATGCTGGCCACAATTCTTTTTATGAAATCATTTCTCAAGAGAGATGCTGACTTCAAAAACTTTGCAGTGCTCTACAGAGCACGTAGTGATGATATCAACCCATCTATGTTTAGGTCATAATTAGATCAGTGTGAGAGTGGTTAACTCATGACCCCACCTCCAATCCTCCAATCGCTGAGACACACTGAGTGAATGAATGATCAGCTACACCAGCGCTGACTGAGGGGCCTCTGGGGTCTGGCTCGTCTCAGCAAGAGGCCTATAAAGTGAAAACAACTGGTGCACAGTGCTGCATGACTTTTTCCACATCTCCCTCAGCGTGGCCTATTCCAGAACAGCAGAGCTGAAACGGAGCATTAGCACACTCCCCTTTACTGTAGTCAACAATATGCTACAATATACGCACTCAAAAAAACACACACACACACACACATCAGCATAAACAACACATGAAACACACACACCTGAGGTAATGAGCAGATGTGAGATATATGGCATCTTTTCGTTTTGTTCACACTCTGGGCCAGATTATCTGCCACTTAAAGGTAAAATAAAGAATATTTATTTCCTTATTAAAACTCAAAATCGAACTGCTGACTGACGTGGCAGCAAAAAGGAAAGAAAGAGGAAACAGAGCATGACAGCATTGGGAAGCACAATCCACGGACAAGGGACAAACCAAATGAAACATATACTTAAAGGGACACTAATGGGGGGGTGGGGGTGACAACACCTGGGGAGGCCAAAGAGGAACAGGTGAGAGTGGGAGGGGCAGAGCAGAAAGCAAGTGCGTGAAAAACACCCGGGAGAATTAAATAAACAGGAGACTGAAAAAAATAGGGATGAGAGAGACAAAGCTCAACAAAACTCAGATCCTGACAGTATTCGTTTGTGGTGTCAGTAAAATGTTTCGGGAATCAGTGAACAAATTTAAATTAAAATCACAGAACATAACAACTGGATGTACAGTACATCTGATCACTGAGTTACTTTCTGCAAGTTTCATTAAAATCCGTGCAATGGTTCAGGAGATAAATTAGTAACACACACACATATATACAGGTATATATATACATATACACACATTATTATAAACTGTATATAAATCTAAACAGAGCTGACACAATATCACCCTCAGTAGGTGTCCTTTATGTCTGAATAAATTTGTTTAAAACTAAACAGTAGGGCTGCAGCAACGAATCGATAAAAATCGATGATTAAAAGTGTTGGCAACGAATTTCATTATTGATTTGTTGTGTTGCGCGATTATGCGTATTTCACAGGGCTGCTGAGCTGTTTTGTTCACGGGCAGTTCATTGTCAATGCTGATTGACTGAATAAAGTAAAAAAAAATAAAAACTCTGCAGCGCGAGATGAACAGAGCGAGGGGGGAGGCGGAAGCAGAGCAGAGGCTGTTTTCAAAGGAAATTTAATAAATTTTACAAATGACCGACGCAGAGAAAACTGTTTGACCCAAGTCCTCCAAAGTGTGGGAGAACTTCACAAAGATAAAAACTGAGAAACATGCCACTTTGAAAAGTGACGACACGACACGGGAGAACCACGGAGATGAAACGTAAACATGTCGGAGTCACGAGGACGAGGAAGGAGCTGCAGCTGATGCAACATGTCTCACTCCCAACTCTTGTTGCAGGTGAGTCTCTACAATATTCACATTGTTCTGTTTCCAAGTGAGAATACGTAACATCAGTCTCTCTGTAGCTGAAGCTGCTGCTTGTTTGCTGATTAATGACGGTGATAGAGAACGTGTGTGTTCCTTTTTATTTTATTTAATTGGTACAAGCAGTGTTTAAATGTGATTTATAAATAAATCTAACACTACGATAATAATTTAATGAGTAAGCTTCAACTTTTAATTTGCTGGCAAAGTCTGAAGACACTGCAGGTATGGCAGGATGAATTGCATTTAAACAGGAATTAAAGTAATTTATTACATCTACTCAAATGTGTGGAATTAAGTATTTTATGTGTGTGTGTGTGTGCGTGTCCTTGTGTGTGTGTGTGTGTGTGTGTGTGTGTTTAATTGCTCTTTTAGCCACTTTTGCCTGAACCTAGCACTGTAAATGAAACAAGGCATGTCTTGAGTTGCTGTAAATTATGCTATAATACATATTTACTCTCTCATTCCAGATAACAACAACAACAAACAATGACAGCCTTCATGATGGACAGACATCATGGACACCACAGCAGCAGCTGTCTTCACTGATAACATCCTTAACATGATCGTCACTGACATGAGGCCTCTGTCGATGGTTGAAGACGAAGGCTTCACTACAATGATCCACACTTTTAATCCAGGTTACACTCTTCCCTCAAGGACACATTTTACAAAGTAGCTACATATTGTGCAGGTATAAAGATACATTTGTATATATTTTTGTGTACATTTATTTTTTTAAGCTATTTGACTAACTTTTATTTTTTATTATTCAATATTTTACTAACAAAATAGTCAAATAGCAACCTGTGCGAATTGCTGTCAGTCAAATGTTCAATTTTGGAATAAAGGGGTAGAAATTAAAACTTGTTTTTTGTTCGGTTTGCCGATTAATCGATTAATTGCAAAATAATTGGCCGGTGAATCGATTATTGAAATAATAGTTTGTTGTAGCCCTACTAAACAGTGACTCATCCCAGTTTCCTTCAGTGAGTTCCTGTACATTAAAAACACTAACGGCACTTATTGTCCTCACCGTGGAGCCAAGAGAGGAACTGGAAATAGCCTCCCTCCATCTGTCTGTGGGTCTGTGTGTGCATGTTCTGAGCATGACAACTATTAAAAAAGATGAAGTACTGACTTTCATGGCTATATCTAGGTGTAAAACTGGTCACTATCAAAAATTGTGTTGCCAAATCAAAATCCAAGATGGCCAATATCACATATACAGTATATATGTAAACCGACCACCACTATCGTTTGAGGAAACTGGTTTTTAGTTTTCATATTGTTTAAAAGTACAGTAGTCCCTCGCTACTTCGCAGCTCATTTTTCATGGACTCGCTCTCTCTTGGTTTTTCAAAATAAGATTGGACATGACACACAATTGGCTGACTTATGGATGAACCATGGATTGTTCATTTAAAATAAATTATTTAAAATTATGTAGCACCTGTGTGCAGTCCACAACTATGGGAGAAGCTTCCTCCTGCAGCTGATCACTGATGTCCGCTGTGCAGTGGAGCTCGACAGAACAGAGAAGTGGGCGTGGCCGAGAGTGCAGCCAGAAGCAGAGAACTGAGTTCACGACATGCTGTATATGTATATGTATGTGTATGTGTATATATATATATATATAAAATGAACTACTACTTAATACTTGTACTGCTATTCCTACTTCACAGTTTTTCACTTATTGCAGGGCTTCTAGGTACGTTTCCCCTGCGATAAACGAGGGACTACTGTATAGTTTTCTCAAATGATAGAGGTGGCCAAAGATTACTATAAGGAGGCTGACCCATCATGCCTGGTGGTGGAGAAAAGATCTCACTGCACGTGTCAAGACCAGTCACTCTGTGATGCCTCAGGCAAAAAAATAAATAAAATTAAAACCTACCAGTTCTCCACAGTGTTATTCATCCACATGAATAGCTTGCACCAAGAATATCAAGCTTTACTTGCATGCCCTGTTCAGTTCCAGTCCAGAAAAACAATCATCTCTAAAGCTAACAAACATTCACATTCCCTCAGCGATGGGGAACATTGGTGTACTTCTCGTTATTTTAGAAACACCACGCTGAAGTGAGTCTGCTCTGACAGATGCTGTACTTCCTGATTTAATGACCATCTGTGACAACCTGAAGCTTGCTGTAAGAAAACATTTTTCTGTTTGTTGCGTTAGTATTTGCTGTGGTTGTGAGTTAAATGTATGTTTATTGTGTTGTTGGGACAACTGTGCGAACTGCACATACTAACTAAAGCTAATGTGACAGCATCTCATTAAAGCGCCCTGAATCAGAGGCTAAGAACATAAAAGCAATTGTAGTGATTATATAATAATTAAAAAGGTGTTTTTTGTGTGTGTTTTGTTGTTTTTTCCACAAACCTGTAAGGTCTGGATGATCAACCACAACCAGTGACTTCGTCAACACCTTGGTCTTCATCATCAGTGGCACAATTTTGTCCACAGAAAATGAATCACAGGCCAAACACTGCCAAAAAAAAAGAAAAAAAACTTAAAAATTACAATTCACAACAAAAACATTAATTAAAACTCAGTTCTTTTGTCGCTTACAATACAATTTTTATATCTATATAGCTATATATGGCTATATATAGTTTATATATATATATATATATATATATATTTTTTTTTTTTTTTTCCTGACAATAAATAAAATACAATTTTGCAAGCCATGCACACAGAACCAGGTTGTGATTTTTAAAGTTGCTTAAATTTCACAGTTTGCCATCCACCTCTCAGAATTTAGTGAGACTGCAACCAAAACTTTGCAGCTTCTCTCTAAATTTTCCGTCTCCACCTCATCGCAGCCTGGTGAGATATGACCCTAACGTGGACTTTCACCCCATTCTTTACTTTGACATCTGAGAAGTTCACCTCTGTTTCTGATTCCAGCCTCGCTGACCTGATACTGAAGGATTCAAGAGAGTAAAAATACTTTGAGAAGATTCTGTTGCATACCTCTGGTAACTCTCGGTTCCTCTGAGAATTCTTGGAGCACAGAGACATCTCACAGTGCAGATAAAGAAGCTTCAAGTTGAACTTTGAGTTAAAAGTGAAGCTGAAAATTTTCTTCTCCATCTTTTCAGCATGAACAGGTAAATCCTTCTGAATGTAGTAGACAGAGTCATCTGTGGGGCAAAGTGTCTCTATGACGAAGTAGTCAGAGGGCACACTGGGGTCCGAGCTGGGAGAAATGAAGCATGATGTGATGGTGAACCCAACACCAGGCTCTGAAATGGCTGATGTGATCTGTTGTGCATAAGAGAAAACAAACAGAACATTTTAACATTTCAAGTAAATACACTTCTTCTTGTCATGACAAACCTCTTTGAAAACTGAACAAGGATACAATTCTGCTTCCCTTCTCCTTTTAATTTGTGAAAAAATGATTCATTCTTAAACTTTGCGTATTTCATTTTGTATCTTTTTTACTAAGATTAAGTTACACAATAAATTAGTACTCAGAGGGTGTATTATAAAATGTTTATACAACAGCACCTTCCTTTGTCTTGCACAATATGCAGTTTTATTTTTGCAAAACTGTAAAGATTTTACCTAAATCACTTCCCATCTTATATATTGTAAAGTAAACTTCAAAAAGAGCAGGTTTTTGATTGTTCTGGCTCATCAGTCTTTTTTTTATTGTTTAGTTAAATTATGCCTAAAGCCGTTTCCAGAGAAAGAAACTATCAACGTATTTGATTATTCAATATTTTTCAGTCAGGTCATTTGAACAGTTTCTTTTTTTTGTGCTGAAACGTTTCGCCTTCGATCCAGAAGGCTTCATCAGTCAAGGAAACACACAACAAAACTGATTCTTCCCCCAACAGCTTACTCCAAAGTGGAACAAACCAGTTCTGCTTGTGATAAGATGGTCTCTTTGGTATGCCCCCTCCTCCATTGCCAGCCCTCTTCCTTGTTGACAGTCTTGTCAAACTGGTTGAAAACAACAAAGTCCATGCTCAATAATCCAGGTATACAATCCAACATTTTTCAGTCAGGTCATCTGGACAGTTTCTGGTTTGTCCCACTTTGGAGTAAGCTGTTGGAGGAAGAATCAGTTTTGTTGTGTGTTTCCTTGACTGATGAAGCCTTCTGGATTGAAGGCGAAACGTTTCCAAAAAAAAAAAAGAAACTGTCCAGATGACCTGACTGAAAAATGTTGGATTGTATACCTGGATTATTGAGCATGGACTTTGTTGTATTTGATTATTATTTTTTCAGAAGCAGTAGTAGGAGTGCTTTTACAAATAGGATGACTTCAAAATGAGTAATTTGGTCATTTCAGAAGTGATGTTCTCTCAAGTAGCTAACAGAAAGTTAGTAATTTATCAGCTGTAGCATGAGTCATACAGAATGGAGAGATGGGTAGCAGACTTCAGCCAGGTTAGGCTAATGGCTAGCCTAAGAGCTGTCCACTTTTTAGTCCTTTAAAATAATTCTTCTTCAAAAACAACATACTGTGTGAAGGAACACTACTTTGCTAATATTAATAATACCGTTTGTTTAGTTGGTTGCTGTTTGTTCAACCGAACAATGTCTGTTTCACCACACAAATGTTTGTTTGCTGAGAATAGATATTGTTATATGAGATACTGTTATATGATATATTGTTATACAAGATATTGTTATATGCTGATGATACTGTCATAAGTTGAACGTTGCAAAAGTTTATGTGGTTTTGTTATATAAACCTTTAAAATTGAAGTAGGGTGTACTTTTTTCCACAAAAGTATTAAATGTCCACATTAGTTGAGAGGGGTTCCCTCTTTGATTATCAAGTGGATTCGGGTCAGGTCTAGGGTCAGTGTGAGGCCTCTAACACAGACAGCTCTTTGTCTGTTTTGCAAAGTGCTCCTGCTGATATAATCACAAACCATCTCTTCAAAGACCTCAGAAAACAAGACTTTGCCATCTCTTCAATAACCAACATAATTATTACTGCTAATCAAATATATGGAACCAGACAGAAGGACATGACACCATGCAGAGGAGAGTAAATGAATGAAAGGTCAAAGAAAGTGTTTGCATCTTAGCCTAATCTAGACAAAACAGACAACAACATTATGAATGCCACAGAGAGATTAAAGAGAAAAGAGCACGTACATCAACAAAAAACACATACTGAGTTTTCTCCGAATATTGTTTTAAAGAAAACTACACACTGTGACTCTGACATGAGGACTAATGTAGAATAAATGAAAAGCGTACCTGCACAAACACTTCCTGCTCTTGGGAAACTGTGAAGAAGGCTTGCCGTGAAGGACTGTTGTATGGCAGGGTGTCGTACAACTCCATATAAAACGTTGTGTTGCTCTCTGGTGGCCTGGCTGGTCCTGGAACAGGCTTGGGGGGTGTTCTCGAGATTGCCTTGTTTATCTTATATGAGCAATTGAACTAGGGAAAGAACAAATGAATCCATTAAAAGAAGGGATGGCCAAGCATTCATTAAAGAATGCTCATCAACTACCATCCTTAATGCAAACATTTAAAATGAAAACATCTTATGTTGACAAATAACCGAGTTTTAGCTGTTTGATCAAATCTTAAAAATCCCGTTGTCTCTTGCAACTTCAAATACAACCAAATGGAGGAAATTCAAGACCATTGTTCTGTTCCCCTCCCCAGGAGTGGTGGACCAACAAAGATCACTCCAAGAACAAGGTGTATAATAGTAGGTGTGGTCGCAAAGAAGCCCAGGATAACTCCTAACAACTGAAGGTCTCTCTCACATTGGCTGATGTTGATGTTCATGAGTCCACCATCAGGAGAACTGAACAACAATGGTTCATGGCAGGGTTGAAGGAGAAAGACACTGTTCTCCAAAAAGAACATGGCTGCTCATCTGCAGTTTGATAAAGATCACGTGGACAAACCAGAAGACTGTTGGAAGAATGATTTGTGGACGGATGAGACCAAAATAGAACTTTTTGGTATAAATGAAAAAATGAAAAGAGTTATGTTTGGAGAAAGGAAAACTCTGCATTCCTGCAGAAGAACCTGATCCCATCTGTGAAACGTGGTGGTGGTGGTATCATGGTTTGGACCTGTTTTGCTGCATCTGGGCCAGGTCGGCTTGCCATCATTGACGGAACAATGAATTCTGAATTATATTAGATAATTCTTATGAAAAATGTCAGAACATCTGTCCATGAAGTGAATCTGAAGAGAAGGTGGGTCATGCAGCAACAATGACCCTCAGCACACAAGTGGTTCTACCAAAGAATGTTCAAGAAGAATAAAGTTCATGTTTTGGAATGACCAAGTCAAAGTCCTGACCTTAATCCAATCCAGATGTTGTGGAAGGACCTGAAGCAGCAGTTAACGTGAGGAAACCACCAACATCCAGAGTTGAAGCTGTTCTATACAGAGGAATGGACTTAAGTTCTTCCATTGTGATCAGGACTGATCAACAGATACTGGAAATGTTTAGTTGCATATATTGCTACACTGGTGGTGGGGGGGATACTGAAAGCAAAGGTTCACATACTTTTACCATCACAAATATGTACTATTGGATAATTTTTCTCAATAAATAAATGGCCAAGCATATTTTGTCTCATTTGTTTAACTGGGTTCTCTTTATCTACTTTTAGGACTTGTTTGAAAATTTTGAAAAGTTTTAGGTCATATTTATGTAGAAATATAGAAAATTATAAAGAGTTCACAAACTTTCAAGCACCTCGGTACAAACATGAGAAAATACATTATCATCTGCCTTCTGACTTTTGGAAAATAAAAATCTGCAAAGACCTGGCTGACTTTATCCTGCATCACCCAGGAACATCCTTTAAACGTGTTAAGGTGGATTTCAACACAGTGAGGAACCTGAGGAGATGTATCATAAAATACAAGCTGGGGATTTAAAAAATGGATGAACATATGAAAGAAAATAAGTCATTTGATAAATAGTAAATTGTATCAATGGAAAATGTCAGGCCAGGTTCACTCAATGGATAACTTGGAAAGATGGTGTGCATCTCTGTAGCCAGTTATTTATTAACTCCAAGGGGAAATAAGTGTTTCTTCCAGCTCTCCATTCATCAGTTATTTGACCTGACAGGTTAGATTTCAGCTGGTCTCACAGAAAAAGAACCATAGTCAGTGCACTAACTTACCTCTATTATAGACACTTGCTGGTTTTCTTCTGTTAATATCCCCTCTGGCTCCACTGGGTCTTTAGAGAATGGTCCGTCTTCAGAGTCTAGACCCTCAAAATTCACCGGACCACTGCTCCAATCTTTCGTCTCAGCAGAACTTACTATCACCTGCAGTTCACAAGAATAAATGTTAGTCACAAAAACTGACTCGCATCCACAGAAATGATTTACAGACTTTTTAAACACACCCAAGTTGCCTAATTCTGGCAAAAGTTTGAAAATTTGAAAGAAGCTTAAATTGTGTAAATATCCTGTAGCTTCAGCAGGAAGAGAAAAAAACAACACATTTTTATTTCTCATAAGAGAAGAAGCATGTCAGAGGTCTCAGATAAGCATGCTGCCTTGAGAAAATGTGATTTAATGATGAGAGAACAAACGGGGAAGTTCAAAGTTTGCACAGAATGTTAGCTGATCCATCATTGGAGCCACTGCAGGAATAAATCAGCACAGAACAGCAACAACTCGGTTATCTTTGGTTTGAGAGGACCCAGGCACTAAAACATCATATTTTTTTAAACAGGAGTCAGATGTGTTCCCTGCATTCATGAACCAACACAAAAGATGACCTTGATAGAAATACTGAACACCACAGACAACCACAAGTTCATATGACAGACCTGTAGTTTAGAGCCAAACAATCAAAGCATCTCCACATGTTGAAAATGTTATCACACTGAACCACTTCTCTGTTTTATAATAAGAAAAGTGGGAGAGAACAGCTTGGAGACTTGAGGTGGGCTGCAAATTGTAAAATAAAATAAAAAATGCAATGACTTTATTATTTTGGAACGGCCGACATATATACTCACAGTGTTGATGTAGAGAGCCGAGAGACTATTGGGCACAGGAAATATGGTGGTCTGACAACCAGTGAGAGGAGTTTCCAGTGTGTAGTGGGTGGCATTGACTCTCGCTTTGCATTCTGGGTCTTGCAATGTGAGGTTGGCATGAGTGAAACCATGTTCCTGAGGAAATACAAAAACAGATAAAATCAGAGCACTTTTCCTTTATTAACTCATTTTAAGAATTGTAAAAATAAGAAGCAGGAGAAGAAAAAGGTTGAGGCGGTCGTGTGAAACTCAGTTCTCAGGAATAAACAAATCCCACAAGGTGGTCTAGCGTCAGATCTTAATTACAGACTCTGCCAGTTTGCATTCTGTGATGTGGGCTCACCGAGCCGATGCCGCGTTTAGTCGCTAAACGTTCAGAGCAGCGCTCTTTGCCTAAATGTCCACATGTGTGGGGACATTTTCTCTTTACATGTCTGACTTCACACTTTCACACACTTTATGAATAATAGGTGTAATTGGTGTGGATCACTGGAGTAGAGAAACAGCATAACTAGAGGAAGTGCATTATTAGCTAAATGTAGCATGAATGCTAACGTGCTGAGTGACTGCTGAAATCTGCTGTAAAAACTGAAACGTAACCATTAAAGATAAAACAAACAAAACAGAGGATAAAATGAGCAAACATAGGCTGATATAAGCAAAACACAAGCTAAAAATGAAAAACGGCAAAACTGCAGCCAAAAGCTCAAAGTAGCACTGTAGCTAAAAGCAGCTGAACAGGAACTAAAATGAGCAAAACGTATGTTAAAATTAACAAAGCAGAGGCAACATCAGCAAAACTGATGCTAAAATGAAAACTGACAAAACAATAAATAAATTGTGCAAAGCATAGCAAAATTGTAGCTAAAAGTAGAAAAACTTTCTGAAAACTAAATGTATCAAAGCAGTAGCTGAACTGAGCAAAATGTTAGCAAGGTGGCTAAAAGTAGCAAAACAGTGGCTAAAAACTACAAAATATATATTTCTTTAATAGTATGCTGAAGAAGAGTTAAAAAAGAAACAATAGTTTAAAGGACCAATGTCCATGCTCAATAATCCAGGTATACAATCCAATGTTGGATTGTATACCTGGATTACTGAGCATGGACTTTGTTGTTTTCAACCAGTTTGACAAGACTGTCAACAAGGAAGAGGGCCGGCAATGGAGGAGGGGGCGTACCAAAGAGACCATCTAATCACAAGCAGAACTGGTTTGTTCCACTTTGGAGTAAGCTGTTGGGGGAAGAATCAGTTGTGTTGTGTGTTTCCTTGACTGATGAAGCCTTCCGGGCTGAAGGCAAAATGTTTCAGCACAAAAAAAAAAAAGAAACTGTCCAGATGACCTGACTGAAAAATGTTGAATAGTTTAAAGGAATTGAAAATATCTTAATGTATTTTTATGTTGAACTTTACTTTAAATAATGTCAAATACTGCAAAACTATAAAAGTTAAAAGTCACATTTTTAATAAAGCTAAATTGAATATTTGATTGGTTTAAAAAAAAAAAAAAAAAGTGCAATTATGTGAAAGAGGTTTGAAAAAAATTACACAGAAGTAACTCCAAACAGGAAACCAATGACAGGACTGACTGGTTGTGAATATGAACGTTAAATGTGCATTCTGACACATGATCCTTTTTTTCTATTCTCATACATTTTTGATACATCATGAGCAACGTAATGGCGAGCTCTGTCGGAGCGTTTAACTTCACTTTCAAACTCTCAGTAAAGGTCTTGATTTGTCTTACACCTTTCATTTTGGGGTTTTATCAGTTTTGTCTTTATTTTGTCCTTGTCCCACAGTTTTATACATCAGCTCCACCTAAACATGAGTTATAAACAAAAAAACAAAATTTCCAAACATCATAGTTTTCAAATGTGCAACATAAGTTGTATTTTGGGATAATTGTGTTTTCTGCTCCTAATTAGAAAAAGAAAAAAAGGCAATAAATGTAACATGAAGATAATTTTTAACTGTTAATATATTAACAGTATGCGATAATAATGCACACTAACAGAAAAGATAGAAGGTCAAATCTGTTTGAGATGCATCACATCGTAAACAAGGAAGATTTTAAAAGCACATTTTAAATGTCATACGTCTATTTGAAGTGATTAACTCAATGCTAATTGAGTTAGCTTTAGCATCTTTGCTAATTTTTAGTCGACAGCCTGTGATTAGTAGGATTTTTTTTTAAATGTTAACACTGTGCACTTTTTATTAGGTATAACAATATATTTTTATATGTAAATCAATGTTTATTTGTTTAAAATAATAAATAGTCTTCAGCTTTTAGGTCAGGGATATTCAACTGGTGGCCCAGGGGCCAAATCAGGCCTACAGGTGAGCTCAGTTTGGCCTGCCAATGGGTTCATTTTTAAATAAAACTAGATTTTAAACCATAAAACAAACTTACTTAATGACAATAACTGTTGGATTAGTTGATGAAAATGCATAGATAATTGTTTTATTTAGAACTGTGGCCCTCTGAGTCACAACTGAATCGAGACATCAAAGATTTCCACTACTAATAATAAATCAACCTTTTTTGTTTCATGGTAGCTACAGCTCGTCTCGTTTGTTCTGTAGCTCTGGGAATGTCAGGGCAGACCCTGACAGTGAAGGCTTACATTATGCAGGACACTCACTTGCAGGCTCTTTTTGTTTACGCTGACCACCATCTTCTGGTCCAAACACTGCACGCTGAGCCCCACATTCAAAACGGCCCTCTGATCATCCAGATCGTCATCCTCCCAGGGCCGGTCAGAGCCACTGGGCAGGGGATGGAAATCTGCAGGCAATGGTGGAGAGAATGGAAAGGGCAGACTGGAGCGCCGAGATGCAGGTCCGTCTCCTGGCTGAGGACTAGAGTGGTGCAGGATAGACAGATCAGGAAGCGATCTGTTCTCCAGACGATCCACCACATCTGGAAGTCACACATTCTCATGAGGCTCACTTACAGGCTGAGTGTGACCACAACATACCTTTTCCCTGCGTTACCTGGTTCTCTCAGTCGAATATTGAAGTGGTTGGCCACAGGAGTGTTGGTGTAGGTTGTAACAGGACCGTAGCTGTGTTCCTCCGCCCACTTGATCAAGGCTTGTGGTCCTGATGGCAAGCTTTGTTTGGGGGATTGGGACACCGACATCTGGGAACTCACACTCACTGAATCGGAGGCCTGTGGAGAGGAATGTTTGTTTTCTATCAGAACAACACAACAACAAGCTGAGGTTATTATTTTTAACATTAGAAGAAACAAAAGACATGCGTTAGTGTTCATGCGTCAGCACAGACATTCTTCAAGTGCAGTCCTGCACTCCTTCAGAGTCAGGAGTGAAACATGTTAACAAGGTAACGGGCATGTTACAGCTCGACCAATCAGATGCAGTTTGCATGTAAAAATCCGTGTCTTGCTCCACTGCTCCCTGTGTGAGTCAGGACTCCTCTTCTCACAGCCATTTCCCACACAGTCTCTTGAGCAACACTGAGAAGGACTGATGGGCCTCGTTTTATGAGGTCATCATATCAGCCTAAAAGCTGACTATCTTTCAAAGCCTGGTTGCACAAGCCCAGCATCTTGTGTCTCGCTGCTTGCTGTCAAAGAAAAGTCAGTTTGATAAAAATAAAAAATAAAATTAATTAGTTTAGGCTGAGGCCTTCAGGGACTCTACTCAGATTAGATTGATGAATGACACCGCCAGCTGTTTGTTTATGCTCTCTTTCAAAAACAGCTCATCGTGTGACACTCATCTGTGGCCATTTAAACACTAACAGAAGATGCATGCTATAAAAACAACAGCTGTGGTTTCATTTCAACACAGAGCAAACTCCTTCAGGTGAATTCAATAAAAAACACGATCAGTTTTTAATAATATACTTGCCCAAAATGAGACACTTGTGGACGCTGTTGTTTCAGGGTGCAAATGTCAGGAACCTGGAGATTTGGTGTATTTTAAGGGTGGGGTGTAATTCAGGGGTGATTCTAGAATCTGCCCTTTAGGGGTGTGTCAGCCCCCCAGTGCTGACAATGGCTCTTGGCTTGAACAACATGGTGACCATTGGTGTCAGAAGCATTTTTAAATGTTGAAACAGTCTCTTGTAAAGAGTCCTCGAGGCTCAATGAGACTAGCCAAATGAAGGTTGAATGAATGTGGAGGGGACATGCTGCTGGTGGTGGGGGTGGGGTATGGGGGTCCTCCCCCAGAAAATTTGAATAAAGTAGATGCCATTTCCTGCACTCTGGTGTATTTTAACGGTTGTTAAACATCTTAACTACATAAGTAAACACTTGATTCAATAACTACTTTAGAGCGCAACAAGAAGTAACCTGACCAACACACGTTCCACTTCTCATGCATCCTACACGCATTACCCCCCCCCCCCCCCCCCCCCCCCACACACACACACTCCTCAGGTACGGGGCATTTCACTTCAGGACAAATTGAGATTGCCAATATGTCAGTTACTGACGAGCCTGCTGGAATGGTTGACAGGTGGCCTCGAGGATCCAACGTGCAAAAAAGGAATAATAGATTTCCCTGGCCCGTTTAAGAGTTATCATTTATTCCAGATTTAATCCAAATTCATTCAATATTTCAGTGACTCTAAGGTTTGAGAACAGAGTTTCCTTACAAAATTGTAACAATTGTTTCTTTATCTTTAAGGGGTGCTGAGTTAAAATATGGGGGGGGGGGGGTGCAAACTGTCTAAAATGGCCACTGGTGTGATTGTATTTCAGCGCTTTGTGGTTTGAGATTATTAGTGTTCAGCTTGTTTTCTCTTCCTCAGTTCTTCCCTTCATTTGTCACAGTTTCATTCAGTCACCCATACATTTAGATTATCAGTCACATCTGTTCTTTACCTACCCAGCCCCCCCCCCTCAACTGTTCAGCCCATTTCGATCTGGGTTTTGAGCCTTTGCTTTGGGCGATCCGGCTCATTTCTAGCAAAATTTTTGAACTCCAAAAACCTGGAGTTCCATGCAGGCCAACTCGTGCTGCAGATCTGATGTCAGCAGACTGCAGACCAGACCTGGTTGTACGAGGGACTTCTAACGTTAACTAGCATTAACTAGCATTAGCTAGCATTAGCTTATGTAGTCCTGTCCTCGCACCTTCAGCATGATTCTGTTGTGTGTCCTCGGACAGTCTCACGTATGTTTCGGTTGTGTGTTTTCTAGCAGCATGCAGCTTTCTCTGGCTCTGTTTTAACTTGTTTCTGATTAGTGAGAGGAAAAAGCTCCATGTTTTTTTCACAGCTGGGCTTCGCCAAAAAATGACATCACGTGAACCGCGAGTGTTCTTGGTAAAATAATCCCTCCCACCTACAAAATCAGCAATTCTGTGCGGAGCCAGGCCAACCTGTGCCATGCCTGGCCTCACAATGCAAAAACGCCACTACACCCCCAGCCTCATCCTCGGCCCCCTATGGTTCGATCATTTGTTCAGCACTGGTGCTTTATTCAGAGTCAGAGTCAGAGTCAGAGTCAGAGTTTCTTTATTGTCATTCGCACCTCATGTGGTACATGTGGTGGAGCGAAATTATGTACACGGGGTCCCAGTTACATCCAACAATAAAATGTATATGTAGGGTTTCTGGGGTCTTGTCTTACATGTTGTGTTTTCCCTCATGTTTGCCTGTCACCCCTCAGCATTTCTCCTCCTGTGTTCCAGCACTGTTGCACCTGTGTCTAATTCTAATCACCGCAGGTGTCACTCATTTCACCTTGTTTGTGTCTGTATATATTCAGCCTCTTGGTGTCTTGTCAGTGTCTCTGGATTGTCCTTGTCCTAAGGCTTCATGACCTGTCTCTCCTGTGTGTCCTCCTAAAGTAAGTTTGCTGCCCCGACAGCATTTTGTTTTGTTTATTTAATTAATAAACTATTTTACTTATTTACTGGAGCTTCATTCGTCTTCCTGCACTTTGGGTCCCACAACACGGAGCCGATCATGATAGAATCCAGAGACCAGACCAAACCCAGCAGGAAGATGACTCTTTTTGAGTTCCTGGCCCACGAGGCGGCGAAAACTGCTCGGCGTGAGGAGGAGGAGAGGAAAAAGACTTTGTACCTAGGTACGCGCCTGGCTATTAAAACTGGGTCTTTTGCCTCACCACCTCGCCTTTTTTCTTCACCTTCTCACAGAGCGGCAGCTCCTCGCAACCCACCTCCTCCCCAACCACCTCCTGCTTTCCTGGAGCAGTCTTCAACGGGAGCGGGGCAGTCTGCTTGGACTCACCGCAGGAGGAACAGGCGGCGGAACCGAGCCGGCTCCTCCAAACTCCAGCACGTCCCTCCTCAGACGCAACCCAGTCCATGCCCGTGTGTTTCCCTTCGTGGGGGGGAGGACGTCGCACCTGTCTCTGGGGGGGAGGAAGCAGTACACCCCTGCGTACCTGTCGCTTGGGGGGAGGAACCCTGCAGTTCCAGCGATCTCTGGGGGAGGATGATCGCTGTGGAGGATGTCATCTCCAGGTACACCAGGGCTGACAACTCTGACAGCTCGCCTGAGGGGTGGGAGCAGTTCCGGCGGGCATGGATGGAGAGGCGCGTGCTGCGCTCACTTCTGCTGGCTCCTGCCCATCCTGGTCCTCCTCTCAGCTCACCTCTCGCTGTACCTGTGTGGTCTTCCAGGTCAGCCCAGGACCCGCTGGTCTCAGCACCAGCCCTGGACTCGCTGGTCTCCGCACCAGCCCTGGACTCGCT